TGACACTGTGTCCACCCCAACAAAGTGACGTTGCGTCCTTCCTCCATGTCTCCATAAAAAACGCGCGTCACGCGCGGACTGGAAGCTCCGCGCAGACAGAGCAGGCAGCAGTTGATCCAAGGCGCACGCGCTGATTTCTATTCATTGTCCCAACATTTACCCCCTCATCACTCACGAGGACCTAAACCAGCTCTTGTTGTGCCTTTACATTTGATTCGGAGAGAGGTTTCCTTCAGGTTTTGACTGCACCTGCTCCACCGCTCCGGTCCGGTCCATCCACCTCCTCCCGCCGGCCTCTGGAAGAGCGCTGCCCCGCTGAACGCGCCATGGGATACGGGAGAACCGCCGCTGCTGCCTCCGTCTACATCTGAAGCCTCTGTGGATTTATAAAGCGCGTTTTAAAGGACAAACTTCGGTTTCGTTAGTCTCACTTTAACCTGTCCTCCGGAACTATATTTCCTCCGCAGGAACTTTTTTTCCCTCAACATTTTGAACCCAAGCTTTGGGTTTTATTGAAGCTGAACAGAATGAGCTCCTTCAGCTCCTTCAAGGTGCTCATCTTCTGCTGTTTGTCTCTCACAACCGGTAAGAAATCACTAAGTGAACACAGAACATGATCAGACTGATTCATTGCAATGACTGAATTATTTGACCCAACATGAGTGTCAGAAACAAATTTTATTCTACAATGTGTGACTAATTTATGACCCTTTTGCCCTCTCTTAATTCTAACATTTAAACTTTATTATTATTTTTATTTTATTTTACCCCCTCCTGTTTACTGGTGTTTCTAAATAACATCCTTCATCCAGTCAGGCTCTTACTGGATCCAGTTCTCTCTCAGACCAGCAGAGGTTGCCTTGTCTCTTTGAAGTTCTTGTAAAAATCAGTAGAACCTGCAGGATCTGGCAGACTCTTTAATAAAGGAAGGAATGCATATCCCCCTCCAAATTTAATGCAGAATGTTTAGACTCATCTTATAATAAGAAATCTGCTTTAGCCAAACCTTGATGATAGAACATTTAGTGTTGGCTAGTGTTGATGAGCCGTACCTCGAGTTGGATTCAGTTCAAAAGTTAATCAGTTGTGTTCATCAAATCGTTGCGTTCTGAAGGTTTTGTTAAAATCAGTGCAGCTGATCCTGAGAAATTTTGCTAACAAGGGTTGCCTTCAACAGTTTTCACCATATATCTTGTGCAATGTGGAGCACTTTTATTGTGTTGTGAATGACCCTCAGCTACTACCTGACTAAGTTTTAGCTCAATATCTGGAAAACTGAAAGTGATAAAACACTTTTTTATGATTCAAGTTAACTTAAATATGATTATTTTATATAAGTTTCATACAAAACTGTCTTTTGGTTCATGACATTTTTGGGGAACAGAACATAGACAGGTATATTTTTGTCAGCATGTGACAAAAAACAAAACTCATTTATTGATGTGGTTTTGATTTGATTTGTTTAACGTGTTTAAATTGGTTTTTGTTCTTGTTTTTTATTTGCAAATGAAGTTTATTCCAGTAATTGTTCTAATTGTTGTTATCTGTGAGATAAAACCCCTCAGGAAGAGAGAATTCATGTTTCTTGCGACAGTCAAACCAGCTTCATTGTTTCAGTTTAAATCCTCAAAAACAAGACGGAGCAGACAACGTGGACGTTCGTTCCTCCACCTTGTGCCAGGTCGCCGCTCAGACACACACCAAGGCTTCCTCACCGTCTCCAAACAAACAGCCCATCCAAACAAAGGAAACACTGTTCACGTTCTCCCCTCCCCACGCACACATTTCCATGCACACTTTGACCGTGTGGAGCTTTGTTTTGCCGTGATTTTACGCAGATTTCCTTCACTGTCTATGCACAAAGCGTGGGAAAAAACGCAAGGAGGAAGCGGATGCAGGGACAAGAGGCGGCCTGGAATTGTTCTGGCGAGTAAAGGTCACGGAAACGTGACACGCTACCTGAGCGAAGACTTCTTCTTGAGCTGATTTTTCTCTCAGTTATCTCAAACCTTGTGCACAAGACAATGGCAAGAAGGAAACTGGGCACTGAGTCTGCAAAGAACCCATGACTGGTAGAGTCATTATTCTATGTTGGTCAGCAGGTTAATTATCTGTGCTGATGTTTGTACCAGATTATGTATAAAATATTTAAATGTGTGTGTAAAACACGACACCTCTAAAGACACACCTATGTCTCTTTCCCTGATTCAGATCCGTTTAATTTGTTAATATTTACCTTGTCACAGCTTCTCTTTTGAAAATCAAAGCAGGTCAAGTGTGTCGCTTCGTGACCCGTTGACACAGCTAAATGAAGCTGAATGGCTCCGACTGAAACTCATCTTTTATGTGGCAACAGGCAAAGCTGAGAACTCGTCTGCATGATGTAATCAGTCCTTATCAGTGTGTGTTAACTTGTCCACAACTTGTACCCTGAGTGCCAACAGATCACAAAAGATCCGCCATTCATACAATCATTGTGGTGGATGGGCAAATAATATCACTTCACATCAGGCGTACGATGATGATATGGGTCGATACGTGAATCTGTCACTGAATCAATGTATCAATGTGGAATGACGTATTGTTACACCCCCACTGGACACAATATTATTTTCAAGGTTTAACTTAAAGAGATACTCGATTAGTTGTAACATTAGACTTTATATGATAAACATATACTTTAACTGTAAAATAAAGACTGTAAAAATACTGTAGGATGTTCAGTTTTTATAATTTTTAAACTAAAAGTTTAAAAATATATTACACGGATGGGGCCATTTTATTTACACGCAAAGCATTCTGGGTAAATGATGACATCAACTAGGTCATCGGCACGAGGCTGCTAGCAAGCTATATCCACCCTGAAGGTTAATCTTGGACAATATCTGATGATCGACTCTTTTAAATGAAACCAGAGAGCGTTGACAGAGAGGAGAAGGTAGAAACAACTCAGTCTGTAACTGAAAATATGGATGGAGGACAACAGAGCTGCTTCATGGAAGAAGAACCTCAGCTTAGCCTGTTAGCTTTAGCATTAGCCCCGACGCTATCACCATATATATGTATTAGCTCAACATTCTCCTCTCATCACTGAGGTCCTCCATCCACATGACAGAGAGGGGAACACAAAAATGACTCAGTCTGCAACTGGAAATATGGATGGAGGACCTCAGTTTAGCTTGTTTGTCGCACAATTTAACATGAGGGCTAGCTAAAGCTAACAGGCTAAGCTGAGGTTCTTCTTCCATGAAGCAGCTCTGTTGTCCTCCATCTATATTTTCAGTTACAGGCTGAATCATTTCTACCTTCTCCTGTCTGTCAACGCTCTCTGGTTTCATTTAAAAGAGTCGATCGTCAGATATTGTCCAAGATTAAACTTCAGGGTGGATATAGCTCGCTAGCAGCCTCACACCGATGACCTATCCACGTCATCATTTACCCAGAATGCTTTGCATGTAAATAAAATGGCTCCGTCCGTGTTTAAATATATTTTAAAAAAATTACTGAACTAAAAAGCCTACAGTATTTTTACAGTCTTTATTTTACAGTTAAAATAAATGTTTATCAAATAAAGTTTAATGTTATAACTAATCGGGGATCCCTTTAAACAGCCACCACTCTGTCATCATCAGAAGATGATTTCTGGCATGTTAGGCGATGGTCAGATTGACATGGCTTTAATTCTATGTGAGTTTTACCCTCTGTGGTCATTTTCTCCTAGTCATGTCTATTTCCTGTCCAGGAACTAGAGAGTAATAAAACAGGAGTGATGAGAGATTGGCGTGTTGCTCAGTGGAGCTAAGTTTGAATCCACACAGGCAACACAGGACTGAAACTACAATCCCTGTCCAACACAAAGATATCATATATATATTTACAGATAGTATAGTGTAGTTTTTCTTATGTGATAAAAGCAGCATCTGTTACAAAAGTCTGCCCGACTGCTGCGCTTTGTTTTATTTCGATCAGGCACGAGATTTCAATTTCAAGGAGCTTCTGTCTGACTGCGTGTCCTGAGCTCACATTATGGAACAGGGATCTTCTGGATTAACGTGTTCAGACTCCCCTGCAGGAGATTCCTGTTTGTTGGCCTGACTCGGCTTTATATAACCTTGAATGGCCACCCATCACGGCCAGATGTTCATTTAATTTGCTTTTTTAAGAGGAGTCTGGGGCATTCTGCCTCCAAACCTCCAAAGACTAATACAGACCTAATAAAAAAAGGCGCTTTCTGTAACTGTTGTCTTAACCTTGCAGTTGGCAGAGATGGGGGAGTTAAAGAGGGTCGGAGTGCTGGTTACTGGTTCCCATGATGGCAGGTGCTAGCAGGTCTTACCTATTTTTGATGAAAGACTGCGGTTACGCTGGTCAAGCGTTACATTTAAAGCAATAATTCAGGGATTTGGAAGAAGAGTTCTGTGGAAAGGTTGTGAAATATTAATATCTTACCTGTTGTGGATAGCTCTTTTATTAGAGCAGCTACAGTTTAGAGGAATGCAGATTAGTTATTTATGTTATTTATTAATATTTAACAGGTGTGTCAACAGGTTTCAAAACATCTCATGAGCTACTGCCTCCAGTTTTCCAAATGCTTTCATTGTTATAACGTTGCAACAGATCAAAAGGGAGGGTTTGACAAGTGGGCAATAATGTCCTGTAATGTTACTTCTGGCCTTCTAGGACCAACAAAGACCCACTTGATGAGGAAGTGCAGGAAAATGAGTTATATTTTGTATATAACAGGAGGAAATTCCGTGCTTTATTTCCCGCAAATCAAGGGCTGTGGCTTGGGGTTTCCTTTTTGATGACAGTAAACTTACCGCATGCAGAAGTGTTTTTTGATTACACAACATCAGTCACAAGCAGAGCGCTTCAGAACAAATGGATGATGACTTTACACCATTTTCCTTCCTCATGGATTTTATTTTCCAAGCATCATTATTTCTGTTCACACATTTCGTAACAGTTTTTATTTTATTCCTAAGTTTTAATCATCCCCCCACACACACATTTAAATCCATCAAATGAAGCCCTCTGCTTTAATTTTTCAGATTCACTTGATAGATTTTTCCTGTTCTATAGTTTCTCAAACTTATTGACCTTTTTGATTAATCCAACAAAAAGAACTGCAAATGAGTCTAAACATAGGAAAAATAATTTTATCATCTACCTAAAATGATTTTTCTTAAAAGCTCAGAAAACCTCAAAAAGAGGCCAAATAAACATGTTTACAACCGAGGTGACAAAAATGTAGCCAAATATTTATTACCCCTAAAACATGACAAAAAGGATGAAATTTTATCACAATTACTACAGTTTGTTTTTGTGTGTTTCACATTTTCTCTGCCATAAATGTTTCTGGAGTGCCATCTGGTATTTAAAAAGGCAATTATATTTTTTAATTTCCTGAATTATGGTGAACCTGTCCACAGATATGTTTCTAAATCTCATATCCTGTACCACTTCCTTCAACCAGTGCCAGGTGAGCACATCTGACTCTGGTCTAAATATCTGAGCGGCTCAAAACCTTGTCACCAAAAAGTCTTCATCATCTCCTTTTTTCACACTCTTCCATGTTTCTCCTCTTTGTTTTAATGACTCCTAATAAGAACCAGCTTTTTGGCCCTTTGAACGAAGGTTAAGATGCTTTCTTAGGTCAGCACTGGACAGCAGCAGGCTGGAGAGGGAGACAACAACAGAATATTTTTGTCTTTAGTGTGACTGATAAGGTGCTTGTGAGAAGTGTATCAGTGGATTATTCAATTCAAACATGTAGGAATTTGTATTAATGACACTGTAATCTGTTGTTGCTGATAAAGTTTGTCCAAATTTGTAGGTAATGGTCCAGATATCGAGCAAATCTACACAAAGAAAAAAAAAAACAAAAGCTAAGAGCTGAACACTGTATGAACTTTCATTTGTTTTTATGTAATATATTGCCAAAAGCGTGTACTGTACCAACATGAAAGCATACGAGCCACAACCCTTCCCCTCTGTTTAACCTTGAACAATCAAACAATGATGTTGTAATATTTTATGAGGAAGTAGATTTCACTGCCAACGCTGGCAGCTTCAGCTCATTCTTTGCACCACAGCTGTTCCGAATGATAGAAAAAAAAAACTACTCAGCCAGTGTGTCTGAGTGAGCGCTGTGCTGTGGGTTTGTGAACGCAGGTGTCCCGGGTCCACGTGTGTCCATCTGCTGGCTTTTGTGTCGGCTCGGGACGTCTGTGTAGCTCCATTGTTTTTCCTGAAAATGTGCAACAAATAAGAGTTCCCCCCAAAGACTTTCGTATTTGGAGCTGAGACTTAATAAAGTTGTTTTGTGGCAACAAAAGACAAGCTGTTCAGGGATGTCAGTGAAAAGAAGGAAGTCACATCTGGGACCGTGACACCTCCTGGACTGCAGGGAGAACCACACGGAGCTTCCTATGTTGATCTCCGTTAGAGAGACCTCTCAACAGATCTGTTGGCTGAGCACCAACGAGCCCTCGTTTGAATCAAACAGCTTGTTCCCTCACGATATTCTGAGAACAGCATGCTGTTTACAAGGTCACTTTAAAAATATAGAAAAATCAGCATTTTCTATGTGAGTGCTGAGTGACTGCTCAAATCTGCTGAAGAGGCTGGAACAGAACTGTTAAAAAAGTTCAAATGGGCAGAACAGAAAAAATAATAAAAAGCTAAAATTAATAAAACAGTAGCTAAAACCTAAAATCAACCAAACTGAGAATAACAGCTAATTTGTAAAACAGAAGATAATTATTCAAATTAGCAAGCCCATAGCTAAAAGATAAAATGAGCAAAACTGTGGCTAAAAGCTAAAATAAGCTAAGCTAAATTTAACAAAACCATAGCCAAAAGCTAAATTTAGCATCCATCCATTATCTATACCTGCTTCTTCCTTTCAGGGTCACGGGGGTCACTGGTGCCCATATCCAGCAGTCACAATGCGAGGGGCAGGGTACACCCTGCCAAATTTAGCAGTATAAAAAAAATCTGAATTTAGGAAAACAGTGGCTAAAATGAGCAAAAGWAAAACATAAAGCTGAAATAGGCTAAATTGAAAGGCTAGATTAGCAAAACCGTACAGATAAAAACTAAACGTAACTAAATACTGGCGAAAGGCTATGAAAAACTAAGATTTATTTAGTGAAACAGTCGCTCTAAATTAAAATAAGCAAAACCAGAGAAACAAAAGTTAAAACTAGCTAGACTGAAGCTAAAGGTAAAATTAGCTAAAATAATGAAAATGCTAGTTAAAATTGCTACAATTATCCAGACTAAGGGGTTAGCTAAAAACTAGAAATATCCAAAAAGTAGGTTAACAAAAAGTCAAACTGTAGGTAAAAAGGAACATTTTACAACAGTAGACTGTGAAAATAAAGGTTCAAAGGAATTTGACTGCAGAAATGTAAAAAGGCTCTGTTCATGTTTCTGGTGACTGAACAACCTGTCCTGTCAGCAACCACTGAGAGACATGAGCAGCTCGACAAACTCGCATGTGTAACACTGAAGTGATTCATGGGAATTTCCAGCAGCGTTCCCCATCCCTTCAGGGTAACAGTGATACGCACCATTAAAAAGGTGCCATAAATGCACCAGTTTGTTAAACAACTTCACTAATTGTTTTCTTTTTTGGGTTTTTCAGCTGGACCTTCGGAGAGACACCCCAGGATTGTGCCCTCTGGGAATCCTCTAATTCTTCATAAGGGGGATGTTCTGAACCTTACTTGCAAGTATGTGGCTGAACGCCTGTTAAACATATTTTCAGTAGCAGCAAGTGTAATACTTCTCCAATAAAATAGTGAGACCACTCCAGTGCTGCTATCACCAAAAGTAAGAATGTTTTATGTTTTTGTTTGTCTGTGGCTGTGGGCGATAGGCATTCCTTCAAGGAATGCTAGGCCTTTATTTAACCAAGTTTATGAGACTGATTTCCTTCCTGTCCCGGTCAGTTATGAGAGACCTTCACCAAACAAAAGCGTTTATTCAGTGGAAGGCTGAGACCACTGAGCTGCTCCACTGAGAGACTCAGGAGACCGTTTCATCAGGCCACACAACTCCTCCAGTGGCAGGTCATCTGTGTAGACACCTGAACAAGTGGTCCTGTAAACTACTGTATCTACTGTTTTTTATGCACCATATTACAGCGTATTTAATATTTCTGTCTGTGCAGTTTTTAAGAAACTTTCCAAGTGCAAGATAGAGAGCAAACCCAGTGCTATAACAACTTTTCTTTCTTTTTTCTCTTCCTGGTTCTAAACAGTGTTCTCATATTTTTTTCTTTCCAGAGGTGTCGAATGATGAAGTACAAACACTTTGTTACCTCACTTAAGTAGATTTAGGTAATCTATACATTACAGTGGTAATTATTATTCAGCCAACTTTTTACTTTTACTTCCTAAATTTTAAAAATTCAAAAAGTATTTCACTTCTATTTCACTTTGGCTTTGATTCATTCTTGCTTGTTTAAATATAAACCATTCTGACACCCTGTTTGTTTGTATGCTATCCATCACACCTGCACAGGGCACAAATCACGTCATACTCCAGCGTGTCCGATGTGTGAAGATGACCACGGCAGAGATGTATATGCAGCTGAAACAGGAATTCTGGTGCATCCCAAAATTCTTAACATTACCCTTTTAATATTGTCATTGTGGCCTTTATAAATATATATATATATATATT